CACCCTTTTCATCGATTTACGAAAATATTTAACATTATCCTAATTTGCCATTAAAAATAACACCATCTATATTTATTGCACTATTAAGAATGCTAGTAAGAATTTTTTTCCGCTAATTCAAGGAAAGGTGAAATCAGGATTAGCAGAGCCATCTATGTACAGAGATATTTCACAAAAATATAAAAAATGAGTACAGAATTTCCCCCATTTTTTGTTCATTTTCCCCGGCAGCAATGGGTTAAGGATATAGAGTACTGTCCTTCTCTTGGAATACAGGACCATGTAGTAATTAAACTAAAATACTGTCTGTTACAGGAAAAACTCATCATAAGTAAGGAAAGAAAAGTTACAAGAGATGTAATTATAAAATCCTTAAAGATTTCTTTGATGGCATAAACTGGGAAACACTCCTGGATGATGAGAACCTTGGTGAACACACACACACACACACACACACACACACACACACACACACACACACACACACACACACGCACACACACACACTCTCTGTGTGTATGAATATCCATGTGTAAATATAAATGCATTTTAATACAGCACTTTTTCAGTAGTGTAGTGAGGGGGGGGCAAGGGGGGGCAGCCACCCCCCCAATGCTCAGAAAGTTGGTCTCTGAGAAAAGTGCAAATCTGCAATAAAATTACAAATTTTATTGCACAAATGGCATAGCTCATTATAAGCCATCTAAAAAGAGCCGTTTTCCAGCATTCTAAGAGGCGTGGTCTTAAAATTTCCCCGGGGAAGATTCCCGGACCCCCTGCTATTTTTCTTACCTGTTTGCCCCCCCAATCTTCCCGCTCTGGCTACGCCACTGCACTTTTTTTAGAAATACTGTATATTTGCAGTATTTCCCTCCATTATAGATGCATGCTGACTTTTTCACTGCTACAGGAAATACTTTATTATTTCCATTTAAAAACTCACAAATTTTCAAAATGTAGGCTTGTTGTGGCAAAATTTGATTATTCATTTAGTATGTATGGATACCATGTTCTTGAATGCACAGTAATACACTGCAGGTGGATATCATGAATGTCAGTAGTAAAACTCCATTGGCCACAGCAATTGTAGATTAGCACCTTCCAAACTGTCTTAGAGAATTTGCTTAGGTTTGCTAGAAAAGCTTGAGGGCTAAGATTATTTGATTTTTAGAAATTATTTGAAAATGTCTTTGCATTAACATGTGCAAACGTTACTATAACCAGATTATACATAAACACAAAAACGCACACATGTACACACACACACACACACACACACACACACACACACACACACACACACACACACACACACACACACACAATAACTTCAGAAATTCAATCTACTGTGATACTGCAGGTTCCTGACGATGGAAGGGAGTGGCAAGAGGTAGGGGAAACAGCCAGGCGGTGGAGAGGCCACTTGGACCTCCTTCGTTCTGACACATTCCTTAAGCTCCAGAACAGCGAGGATGAGATTCTGTGCAACTATGCAAACAAGGTAAGCATAACCATGATAAGTGTGAAGTCTTACCATAGGATTATTATTACTATTGCATATTATTATTTATTATTATTGCTAATATTATTGCAATTACTGTTATATTATTAATGCAAAGCAGTGATTTGTCATGAACCACCACAAGGCAAGTAAAAATAATATTACCCTTATTTTAGACCAGGGTTAGAGAAACACATAAATTACCCCTGTTGTTAGAATTTTGAAAATTTTGGGGATACAGGAAACAGTAAACTCTAAAAGACTGACATTCTCATACAAAAAATGTTGGGCATTCATATTGTAGAAAGTCAGGAATATCATTCTTTCCTTTCACGTATAGCACATTATGAGTCAACAAATATTAAAAAAAAATATATGTGACTTTTTTATCAGTTTTAGTTTATCTTCATTGCCTGATTCTGTGTCTATATATTCTCTGTGGATATGATTGCCAACATACCTCACTCAGCATATATAGGCTGAAAGTGCTAAACTGAATGGTGCTACAGTAAGTAGCTTGTGTGTCTACTTTGTAGCATGGGGTAATAAATTTTTACATAAACAGATATTAGGGTAATAACCAGAGAAACTCTTTAATACCTCTTTTGAACTTAAAATGAAAATACATTTTTATGGTCTTATTGCTACAGGCAAATAGAGTTCTTCCAAAAAGTCAAAGTAAATATTTATGTATAGTATGTGAACATTATTTATCTTTGGATATTTTGCTCAAGTATTTAACACTGTACAAAGAAGTTCAAATTGTGAATATTTACAATGTCAGTTTGCACTGAGTGGTGGAAGCGAGGAACCTCTCCATGCCCTTGCCTGCCGGGTACTTCTGGAGGGATCAAGCATGGAGATCTTGCAGGAGGTCCTCAGTGTGTACCCAGAGGATGCTGCCTGTGCCCCTGAAGATGTCTTGTTGCAAGCACTAAGGATCATCCTGAGCTTCTGGAAGAACCAAGATATTGAGGTAAGAATGATGCCAATCAGATGGCAGAGGGAGGTTTCTAAGTAGAAGTGTTGAAGGTGAATAGTACAGTTTAGATGATATTGCCTTAGAACAGACACATAAAGGTAAGGTAATAATTCCTACTTGAAACTAACCTTCATATTCAGACCTAAATATCTTAAGCAGGAAATGTAGATTGATTTGGAAATTTTGGCCCCACTTTTCTTATTGATTTGATTTGCCTCGTATTTTGTCTTGTATTAATGCTTTATGTCTATGGTGTAAGGATTTGATTTGATTTGTATAGATGTTATAATTACAAATAGTGAGAAAAGTGTTAGATATCTCTTCATGTTAACTGAACCTGTTCCTTATGTGCTGATCAAACTTTACCAGGTGGCAATAGACCATAAGGAGCTGTGTGAGTACGACATGATGAAAGTCCTTGACCACATCTTGTCGCAAATAGCCACTTACCTTAACGAAGGAGGAGAGCTTTTATGTGAGGAGGAAGTGTTACAGGACTTGCGATCATTAGGAGAAGATGCAGCTGTTCCTCTCACAATCAGGGTAGAGGCCCTTTCCCTTGCTGAAAAGGTAGGAACTTTATGCATATACATAAATCTAAGACAGTAAGATGTGTACTAAGATGAAAAGAATCACTTGTGGTTGTCCTTCTTAGTAACTGTATACAAGTTCATTGTTCTTTTGTTTGGTTTTTTGATGGAGCAGTTTTACTTGTATATAGTTTAAACCCTGTAAATATGCATTCTCCCCTTTTTACAGAGATTGCATTTGCTGTATGGTTGGAAAACTTTGGATATTAAATCAACCAACTGTTCATTAAAAAAAAATCTATTTAATTTAAATAATCCATTTTATGGTTTGATACATGTATCCATTGCATAATAGGTTATAAAACAAAGGTCAGCTGAGTTTCCAAAGTTTTTATTTTGGTTTTCTTTTCCAGCATCTATCACTCAGTGAAGAGGACCTGCAGGTGGTTTGTGTACTGCGGACTGGAAGTGTTGTGGCTTGTGGCTGGCTGGATGAGGAGGAGCTGGACATCCCCCTTGATCAGGTGTCATGCAGTGAAGGAAGGGCAGCTCTTCTTGCCAAGCTCATTGCACACACCAAGACTTTGCAGCAAACTCAGGCTTTAATTGATCTGCTCAAGTTATGGCCTCCATTTGAGGATGATGTAAGAGTCTCTCTCCTCTCTTGGTTTTGGTTCTTCAGCTGTGGAGAACTTAAAGTATCTACAAACAATACATGTCCGTTTAGTTTAAGGAGTAAAGGAACTTCCTTGTGGCAAAAAACAGTGATACTTATTACATCATTTATTTCTCAGTTTCACAACCTTCCTGAGAATTAGGAAAGAATAAGTAATACCAAGTTTTGGACGAGTCACTTGCAACTACAGAGGAGAAAAAACAAGATGTTAAAGTGTGAATGGGCAATCCTATTAAAGAAATTAATACTAAATAATTGGGCCTAGAATTTTAGCTCAGAAAGGGAAATTATTAAATCATTATGCACAAACAAAGGAAAAATAGTACAATACTACCAAATAAGGAGATTATATGTACAACTTCCTGTACTATTTTGTTGTAATAGTTGAAACAGTTTTTCTATAGGCCTGACTTAGGCCCTTCACGGATGAAGAGGAGGGCTAGGCCATGTACATTGGTCTAGGATTTAGTGCTCGGACTGCCCTTTCACTCTGTCACTCATTGGCAACTTTTTTACCTTTAAAACTTCTATACATATGAAATATATTGCATAGGAATTCCAGAGAGAGAAGTGTGACCATAAGAGAGTTTGCCCTTACATATTTTGTAATAGGCTTACATGCTGCTTTTCAGAAGTACCAGGACAGCTTAACCAATCCATGGCTATCAGTGTTTAGGAAAATAATTGAAGCAACTAAGAATAACAACACGCCAAGTGGTTTAGAGATCATCTGGGAAGCAACACAAAAAGTTGTCTCACAAAATCAGGTATGTTTTGGTTGATAAACTACCTGGTACATTCACTTGCATATTGGTTATTATTATTTTATGACAGCAAGATTTTTAAGTCTGTGCTTTTTATTATATGTATATAATTTGTCATGGATTTAGTTGTGTAATTTAAAAAGAGAAAAAAGTACATTAAAATTTGATTGGTTTGGTATTACTTTTCAGCTGCCAAAGAATTGCCTGGTTGAGTTGGTGCAGCAGTTGTGTAAAGCAGAAGAGGACTTTGGTGCTGTGGCATTGAAATACAGTTCCAAAGTGGCTCTCTTGAGTGATGATCCTCAAGTCAGTGGCTACATGATGAAGAATTTAAGCTCTTTGTTGGAGAAAAATTTGGATGTGAGTCAGTCTTGATTTACCAGTACCTTCTTTAAATCTGCCAGACATCTGACTTCTGTTTTTGTCTTGTGCATGTTATACTCGTGCTGATTATGTTTATTCATTTTCCAGGTGACAGAGAATCGTGACTATGACAATGATTTGTTAGCAAGGTTGATTCCTCGAGGCTTGGTTGCTCAAGTGGTTCTTACACCTTTGTATGGGCCCCTAGTGACCTACCTGGTATGTTATGAGGGTTGTTCTTATGTTCTTTTTTACTGGCTCATTTTAATGTTTTCTAGGGATTTTTTTGCTATTACTGATATGTTTGTAAATACCTAGATTTCTGCATCTATTTCCATTATCAGTCACTCCCTTGCTCTCAGCCTTTTACTTCTAATGAAAAAAGACTTAAAATGTTTATTTTACCACCATGTATTACTTCATCCTGCAGAGTGAGGCAGGGGACAAGACACAGCTGAGAAAGGCAGTTGAGCAGCTAGAGACAGCAGGTTTCTACAAAGAAGCTGCCAGTTTAGCTACCATGCAAAGCTCAGTTCCCAAAGCTCTTCAGACCATCTCTTCCGTTCTCAAGACTTACAAAAAATGGCTTTGAATCTGTATGGATTCTCTCATAAGAATTTCATTACTTCATGCATTAGGAATGACACTTCCTTTGTTACTCTACCATGATTTTATTGTTGTTATTAAATTCAAACTCTGCTTTATTTGGTGTATTAATATTTGTGGTATGTTTCTTCTTGTAACTGGAAACAGGAAATTAAACAGGTTTCCTTAAAAGTTAGAGAGTGGTGCTCCTATGTGTACATTATTTTTATTTGAATGTACTTTGATTTGAACTTGTATTTTTATTCAGTTTAGTTCAAATGATAGACAATTGCATAAGTGTTATCCTACAAGTGATATCACATTTAAAAAGTATACAATTCTCAGAGGTTTAGATCAATGTATTTCATAATAGCTCGTGCTTTTTAGCCCTTTCTCTGCACATAGAAATAAATACCATTTTAAATATATGAGGCAGTTTCTGAGAAGTAAACATGTCACATTTTTTTCTCCAGATAATGGAAAATGGGTAGATGCTTTATATAATTAAAACTTCACTTTTACAATGCGATTAGCACTATGATATGAGATAGCTTCTACTTAGCAAAACAATTATTGTAATTTGGTAATTTTTAATTTTATGGAAGTAAGGCTGAAGAGCAGTTGATATGTATTTTTGTTGTTGTTGTTGTTTTATTATTACATGTTAATGTTATCTGCTTCTGTTTCCCTAAAAGATATGCATGATGAATGTATTCATTCCATTTGATCTTTTCTTTCAGGGAAAGCTTGTGGTTT